CAGGAATGCTGAATTTAAAACTAGCACAGCATGAAGAAAAGAACTGGTTTTTAGCTGGGTTGTGTCTCTGGTCTGACTGGCAGACAAGTGCCAGCCCAGCGGGAGGAAGGAGTGGGAATGGGAAGGTACCTGGGGCTTGGGCTGCCTGCTTTGGTGGCAACAGAGTTGTAGGCCGGTCTAAATCAGTCTGAAATCACAGCTTGGATGCACATCTCATTTTTGCGTGTTGGCCCTGTGCAATCGAGGTACATCTTGACTGGTTTTACACTTTGACTCTAACTGCAGACAGGTTCTTGTTCCAGCATCCTTTTTTCCTCAAGAAGGCAGCTGCTTTTTGCTTGTATAGATTACACTCTATTTACTAATGACTTTTGTAAAAAAAGTAGAAATTCTGTTCTTTGCTCCTTGTGAGACTCAAAGGTGGTAGGTGCGGATGTACCTTCTCTATCTTAGCCCTGAGGAAAGCAGTGGATAGGAGTAAGTGTTTTTTGAACCTTTGTACGTGCTTCCGATCTGAAGCTCTGTTTGCAGATATGGTATGTGATTTACTGGGAAATATTCCTTGGAATTTGAGTGAGCTGTAGTTCCTTGGAATAACAGCTGTTCTCAATCTGTGGTAATAGGTAGTCAAACCACGGGGTGATGACTTAACTTCCTGCTCTTGTGTCAGTTAATGGCTCTTAATGTGATTCTTTGTGGCAGGATGACTTGAACTAATTAAAGTTCTGTTTGACTCCTTTAGAGGGAAATTGGGTGAGGGAAAAGTAGAAACCAAAGCAAATAGGGTGGCTTGCTAACCTAGTGTGTTGTGGGCTGTGCCCGCGTTGTGTTGACACCTACTCCCTCAGCCAGTGCTGGTGGCAGAGCTGTGCGTGCACCGCGGGGTGTGCCTCCTGCATCCTGCCCGGCTGGTTCTCCTCCCGCTGCGCTCCCGAGCTGCCTGGAGCTGGCAGGAGCTTCCCACCGCATCCTTCTTCAGAGTCTTGACAAATCCAGACGTTTCGGTGAAATGTTTGGATGGAAATTCTATTTTGGTTTAGATGAGATTAGAATTTTTCGATTTAAAAAAAAAAAAAAAGATGGAAGAGTGATGCTTGCCTTAATAGCTGCTCTGGCGCAACCTGGTGGAAAGGGCACGCAGCAGGACTCGAGACCTGGCTTGTAATTTATGCCTTGCCTTAGACCTGGCTTGTTCCTCACTGTCCTGTTTATTAGGATAATGCCCCAACACGCAGATTATTGGATAAGGGGGGCAGAGGAGAAGAGTAAGGAAGACAGGAAGGTGTATATCTGTCAGTTCTGTCCAGATTGTGCAGTATCCAATGTAACAGGGATTTGAGGAGTGGACTCCTACCCCTAGCTGGGTGGCTAGCAGTGAGGTCACCCTCTCTCTTCAGCCTAGTGCATGCCCATGTTGTTCAGGCAGAATGGAGCGGTCCCAGCAGTGCCCCACAACATAAACTGGTTATTCAGGCACCTCTTTTTGCTGTGGAGGAATGAGGTTCCTACTACTGGGCTGAAGGAAGCAGAGCTGAGGCTTGAACCTCAGCCTCTCACAGCTCAGCTAAGTCCCATAGTCACTGAGCTGTGGCCTGCTGGGGAGGGCCTGTCTGTCTGTCCAGGTGCCAAACCAGAAAATCTCTGTGATTGTGGTCATGTGCACAGCAGAACAGTCTTACTCCCCGGATGGTGCTCGGTCTTTAGGCTGCAGGGGCTAGTGGGACGCATCTCTTCAGAGAGGGGTTTGCCAGATCACAAAACGTTAACGATTCGTCTATGCTTGTTGTTTTCCCCTGTTGGTGAATCTTTTTTTGACTATTCTTCACAGATTTACATGAGCCCTGAAGTTATCCTCTGCAGAGGCCACACAACTAAAGCAGACATCTACAGCATGGGAGCTACTATTATTCATATGCAAACCGGCATCCCACCCTGGGTGAACAGATATCCTCGCTCTGCATACCCATCCTACCTCTATATTGTAAGTGTCCTTAGCAAAGCTGTAGCTCAACTTCAGCTGAAGGGTTTCCTGTACTCTTGTTGGGAAAGCTCCAGTCATATAAAAACTATCAAAATATTTGTCAGAGAGATGATATCATCCTTTTTGCTTGAGGGGAAGGAAGAACTGGGTTTTGATCATTTAGGGGAAGACAGAGGCTGAGCTGGAGTCATCTCTGTGGTTTGTTGTACAATTTACAGGCCTTGGGTTTACTGCAGGGACAGGGTTGGAACAGCATGGAACTTGATCAAACATTTTATGTTCTACTTGTCTGTTTTGCTTACAAGTTGCAGATAAAGCTGGAGCCTGGCAAATTTGATTCTCTGGTTCTTCCAATGTGGTACAGAAATCTGGTGAATTTGCATTGCACCAGATTTTAGGCTTGCTTGGAGTTGCTTTGAGTTTTTAAATTTATGATAAAATCTGATTTAAAAAAGGTAACTTTTGTGCAGTTACATGTTCTGTTCTAATTGATCAGCCCACCTCAGGGAGATGATGAGTGGGGAATTCCCAGACCACTCATGCGGTTATCTGTGACTTCCTCTTCCATTGCTTTTGGAATAACTGTTTCAATGGTCTTTTTTTATTCCGACAGATACACAAGCAAGCTCCCCCTTTAGAGGACATTGCTGAAGACTGCAGCGCTTCCATGAGACTGTTGCTAGAAGCAGCTCTAGAAAGGAATCCTAATCATAGGCTGTCTGCAGCAGACTTACTCAAACACGAAGCCTTACACCCACCCCCAGAAGAGCAACCACGGTGCCAGAGTCTGGACTCAGCATTGTTTGAAAGGAAAAGACTACTCGCAAGGAAGGAGCTGCAGTTGCCAGAAAACATTACAGGTAACGATATCAGGCTTAGTTACCTTGCACTTTGTAGATCTTACTTTGTGTCACAACTTGATGTGAGTGAGTGTTTAGAAACAAATGAAACTCAAAAAGCTTCTGGAAAGAGACCAGTAAAAATCCCAATCAGATGAGATCAGACCCAGAGCTCATTATTAAGTGTTATGTAAAACGCCCATTGACTTCAGCAGGGGAAGAACTTTGAATTCTGCAGTTCCGGAAGGGCCGGCTTATGGAAAAGCCTTGGCAGTCATTCAGGGCGCTTCTTCACAAAGTTTAGGCTGCTTTCCCAAATTGCCTTAATTTGCCACAGTAGTAGAGATGTTTTATTGATACTAGTGATTTCGTCGTTTAAAAAAAAAAAAAGTCCCAACAAACACCACCAAAACCAATGCTTCTGTAAAGGCACACACAAAAACATACCTGTAATGTTGCTGAGCGTCAGCACTGCAAGCCCTTTGTTTTAAAACAAAAACAACTGTAGGATAGAACACAGTTCCCTTGTGCATTAATAGGTGCTTTATGAAGGATAATACATGAACCAGTTAGAAAACTCTATGTGTCCTCAGATAGTATCAAGACTAAGAGAGACTTGGTGCCAGCAACCTGCTAACAGGCTTCAAAATGCTTTTCTTCTACTTCGAAAATATGTTTGGAGGGTCCTGACAAAAAGCATTTAAAAACTGACTCCAGACAAGTGGTTTATTTGATTGTGATAAGTATTTGAAAAGATATCTATGCTAAGTTTTGGGTGCTGTAATACATAATTGTTGCAATGAATCCACTTAGCATTTAAATCAGTCGCAGCCTTTGCAACTAGAATGGTATTGCTCCTTCTGCATTTTGCTTTGTGAGTATGTAATCCTTCAACCAGCTCGGGCCATCTGAACGGATTCTTTTGAAGATGAAAAAATATTTGACCATTAAACTGGAATTTTAGTTTAGGTGCTTGAGATTGTAGAACACTCATTATACAAGTGTTCAGAGGAGTTCTGCCATTGCAAAGCTTTCTTCAGACCTTGATTTAAAAGAAAAAAAAAAAATGAGACCAGTGGTCTCGTATTTGTTCTGTATTGTCTCACCCAGCAACATAAAGAGGATGTCATCTGTTTAGATGAAAATTCCCCTGTAATGAAGGGGAATTTTCAACTGGCAGAAAGCTAGCAGAGTTTTTTCTTGCACCAAGCTCTCCTTTAGCACTATGGCTCAAAGGATGAGGAAGGTCTGCCTAGCTGTCCCAGCTGATGGAGGTTTTTTTGAAATAGTTGAACACACTCGCTCTCTTCAGTAGCAAACTGCTTACCTTTCTTTGCCCTAGAGTTGTGGGTTGAATTGGTGTCTTTTAATTTGTTTTATATGAGGTTTATGTTATGTTGTCCTTAAAATAACAATAGGACGTGCTTTGTCTCTTTTTCCTTTTTAGATTCTTCGTTGTGTACCGGGAGCATGGAAGAGTCAGACCTGCTAAAGAGGCAAAGATCACTCTACATAGATCTTGGAGCTCTAGCTGGTTACTTCAATATTGTTAGGGGACCACCAGCCTTAGAATACGACTGACTGAGTAACGTTGTATGTTGGCAGGTCAGAACTGGACCTCTACCTCTTAAAACTTGATTTTAAGACTTGATTTTTCGAATTTGTACATAAAAATATTGCCATTGTAGGCTGCAAAATGTGAATAGTGTTTAATTGCACAGATGATTAAGCTAAACCCTTAGGGGCTCTGATAAGCTGATCCCAAGCAACGATATTGTGCGTCTACTGGTTGACCAACAAGAAGATGGCAAAAAGAACACTGCTGGGAATGTCTTAATCCAGGATATCTTCTTGCGCTGGACCTTGCACTTTTATAAAACTTGTAGTACATGCTTGCAAATACTGTCGTCAAAAAAAAATTTGAGCATGTGGGCTGTAAGATTCAGTCTATCTGAGCTGTCCTTAGAGGAAAACCTTCCAAAAAAAAAAAAAAAAAAAAGTCCTTTATTTAACCAGTCAAAGACTGGTTCAGTCTTGTTCTGTCGTTGAGACTTGGCCAGTCTCTGGTCATTCTTAATGGACCTCCCTTAAGCTGAGCTAATTTCTATCAGCTATCTCTGGAGCCAAAGCATCACTTGGTTATGGATGTGTTTTAACTTTGCATCTTCCCTGGGCAGTCAGAGTGAAGCAGAGCGCTGTTCCACT